AATTAGATTAGATTAGCAAATTAGATTCGTCTGGATGTGAATGGCTACGTCGATATTGTATTGTGTATTAAGAAGAAGCTTTTCATTTTTTACYGAAAGGCCATAAGACAAGGATCATTCTTCGACTCTGCCGAACAAGGTACTTATATTGCTAATATTTAATGTAACCAACATGACTGAGTTTTGAAGATAACTGCCGAAGTATCGACTATACATTACGGGGAAAAACAGTTAATGATAATGATACATGGGTTTCATCGTATGGTGCATAAGATAAGACAGAGCTTGTGCTTTCCTTGTAATCTAAATGTGAATACGTTTCTTTGGGCTAATCTAAATGTTTGAAGGCATACTTTTAAAAAGGAGAGAGATAAATGAATGAATGAACTTCATACCAAGCATTACAGAAACAACTGAATGCAAGCTAAGTCGGTCATCATTATTAATGAAATTTCCACCTTGAGAACCCCTAACGTCATTGAGATGTTAAGCGAAAGCGTCCTTTTATTGAAATTCTGAATAGTGCACATGTATTTTACTGAAGGACATGTCATTATCGAACATAAATAAAAACTTCATACTGAAGAAAAATAAATGAAACAATGAAATAATGTATGTTATTTACAAAGAAACTTATAATTGTGAAATGTGCCGCTGATTATCAGTAGTTTGGCACTCACGGATACTCATGGAGGACTGTTGGATGATGCAACCAATTCAAAAGAACTATACCAAACGTTTCTATTATTCGGCAGTGATAAGAAGATTTTGGTAAAATTATTGCTAGTCAGCTCACTACTGATCGAATCACACTGCACTATATCTAATTATATTTTATTATCATTATCTTTATTGAGGTTTAATGCAATTTTAAACGTTTTATTCCGGATAGCTTCGGCATCGTGCTAGAATACGATTCAATGATCTCCGCTTTGGAATGTTGCTTCATGAGCAGCATTTTAAAGAAACAAAAGAAAACAATTAAAATGATTTATTTACAAAGATACTTAAAATTATGAAGGAAACAAAGTAAAAGTGTTTAAACATGCAACTGGCGCCGCTGAGTCTTACTAGTGCTCACGGATGCTCATCGAAAAATGTTGGATAATGCAACAATTAATACAACAGGGCCCGGTTGTACGAAGGGTGGATAGCGCTATCCAAACGGATAATTCTTTATCAAGTGGATGAGTCGATGTGTTTATCCAATAAAGTTATCCACTGGATATGATTTATCCGCCAGATAGCGCTCTCCAACCTTTGTACACCCGGGCCCAGAACTATACAACGTCCCTTCTATCGGCAATAATCGCTACTTGCTTTCAAGTTTCAAGTTTCAAGTTTATTCACACACAAGTACAATAAGCTAAATTGTTACAAAAAAGTGGAATGAATGATGATACAAGTGGAGATTATATATACAAAGAATTCAGCTTCAAAGAGAGCTGACTTTTGGAAGCTTTTAAGCAATGATTTGGCAACCAATTTCAGTTGTTACTTTGAATGATTTTCTTCACGGCGAACAGCAGGACCCGAACAAACTGCAGGAATGATAAATTTCCATATACATATAAACACTACGAAACCTGAAATTGATCCACAAAAAATCGCAAGTTGGCAAATTGAAACACCAAAATAAATGGCAAGATTTTATTGCGTGGCGTGGCTGTCATTCCTTAATATTCCTATGTCACTTTTCTTGCATTAACTTTTGATTTTCTTCACGAAGCGCTTAAACTTTCAATATTATGACTTTGCCTTATAAATAAAAATGGCCGTGAAAGGAAAATTGATCAGTTCGGAAACTGGAATTTAGTAATTTATTCTCTAATTTCCCGGATGTGTCACTCAATTCTGTACGATGATACCTAGAATAAGAACTGAACGTGTTAAAAGTGTTCTTATGAATAGAGGCTTGCTTAATTTTAGATAATTTTTAAATATTGAGTGCAGAAGATATATATGTGTGTGTGTGTGTGTGTGTGTGTGTGTGTATGTATGTATGTTTTTGATATTATTGGTTTATATATATATATATATTAAGTTTTGTAAACCATAGTTAATAGAGAGGAATGGTTAGGAAACCTATTGTTATCAGGTCTTTGTTCGCTTTTGATGTTTAAACGGTCTTGACCGTGCACAATGTTTGGTTTATGCTCATCCGAAATTGCAAAATAAGTAAACATAAACTTTGTCTATAGGATTATCTATTAACATGTGTAAAATTTTATTTTGTACTTGCATTGCATTTTGCGTTATTTTCTATTTTGGTTCAATTGTTCTTGTCAAGCATAAATGAATGTAAACTTATTAGTTTTTCAAAAACTTTTGTTGTTCAACAAGATGAAAACTGGCAAAATTTAATTTTCAAAAT